GCGAATGAATTTTTAGAGTAATGAAGTTGTGATTGACGTTTGGATTACATCTCTGAATTTAAGAATTTGTGAAACGTCTTGTTATTGGATTTCTGGAGATGGGTTGTTTTCCTTGTTTTGATTCGAGGGAAGAAGAGAAGCTGAATCCAGAGAAACAATCCGATGATCTAAAGCAAACTTTGCCTACAGTTCCTTCTAACATTTCCAAGTTGTCTTCCGGTGAGTTTTTGTTTTTATTTTTATTTTTACAATCAATTTCTTTGCTTTCTATGAATTTTTTGTTTCTATGTAATATACGTCATTGCTTGATCTGATCCGGTTATTTTGTGATTTTGTATCGTTTATTGATATCACATCAATCACACTTGCTCTGCCTTTTCTTTTCTCCTATTTCATTACTAGTACTTGATGATAAAATTTTAGAACGATAGATTTCAGATTAGTTCAGGTAGACCCCACTGTATTTTCATACAGTTGGTAAAGAGTCTTTCTTTCTTTAGTGAAATGGGATCTTTTGATCAATTTGAGCATTCAGGTCTGATCTGATTGGTGATTACAAGGTTGGGGAGATTAGGTTAATGGTAGCTCAGTTCAATTATCACTATGCTAAGTTCCGGTCTGGTGTCTCTTTCGAACTGTCATTTATAGAAGATTCAATCTGCCGCCATCGCTAGGCAACTGTTTTATTGATCTCACTGAACTTGAGGTCTTAAATTCTTAACCTTATGGTGTCTAGTCGAAGTTAAATGATAGCTGTTGATCTGAGTACTTTGTTTTGATGGAATTTACAGGAGCTGACAGGCTCCGATCAAGAAGCAATGGAGGACAATCAAATAGGCAATTGCCGAGTCCAAAGGATGCATCTGGTGTCAATATAGCTGCTCAGATTTTTACTTTTCGGGAACTTGCTGCTGCAACCAAGAATTTTAGGCCAGAGTGTTTTTTAGGGGAAGGGGGATTTGGACGTGTATATAAAGGGCGTCTTGAGAGCACTGGTCAGGTAATTTCTTATATGTTTTTCTTTATCTCATTAACAGACCTATAAGCACTGCTTTTAGACTTTCTCCTTTTTTGTGGATGAATTATCTTGCTTGAAATAGTCAAGAGGAATGAAAATTTGAACCTGGTGGGTATTCGATCCGAATATTATTATTATTATTATTATTTTGAAATACCTGTTTTACATTGATGGACTAACAAAGGGAAATCCTTGTGCTGGAGAATGGTGGACATGGTTGAGTTTTTTCATTTCTCTTCTCTATTTTTTGCAGGTTGTTGCTGTCAAACAATTGGATAGGAATGGCCTCCAGGGTAATAGGGAATTTCTAGTAGAGGTTCTCATGCTGAGCCTTTTACATCATCAAAACCTTGTGAACCTGATTGGCTATTGTGCTGATGGGGATCAGCGTCTTCTGGTCTATGAATTCATGCCCTTGGGATCATTGGAAGATCACCTTCATGGTAAGATTCCTTGCATTACTAAACCTTCAATTTTGATCATATCTCATTTATTTGTAGCTCCTCTCTTAGTGTGTGTTCAGTAATGAGGTGTTTGCAAAAGTGTGTTTGGACTGAAAAACCATCAGTTATTGATCATTGAACTGTCAAAATAAGATTTTTCTGTACAATGCTGAATCATGAAAGTGATAAATATCCTAAAGACAAATTTCAAATATAGGACCACCTACGAAGCATACTGATCTATGTCATAGAGAAGCTAAAAGGTAGGCTTTTTTATTTAAGGTTGATTAAAGCAAAGACAAGAGCATGGTCATGTCAGGTTACTGGAGAATCTATAAGTAGGGACATCTTGGATGACTTATTAAACCAATTAGCTTTCTCCACTGATTGTGGTTAGAGGAGGTATCATGATCTTCCTTTCTCCTCCTTCCTTTTCCTGGCAGGTGATAGTAATTTTCTTTAATGAAAAACTCAGTGGAGGATAGAAAGCCTGATGCATGTTCTCCTGCCTTTCTGTCTCTTCATTTTGTTTAGTTCATCTTTAACAGCATTGAATACATGCTATTAACATTTTTTAGATTGATTGTGTTACAAAGATGCCAAAACATTCTGGTTGGCTGAGGGTGAATTTGATTGTCATTGAGATCACAGCATAGCCAGTGAAAGTGGAATATCTTTCATCTTAGACCTGTGGAATTGCTTCAATAGCTCTCTATAAATTAGTTCCTGTACTAGTATTTGACCAGAGTAAAATGATTTTCAAATAAATTAGTTTAACTGCACAAGATTATCTTGATTTTTGAGGTGATGCACAAAATAAATATACGATCTATATTTCATTTTCTTAATTGACGACACTGCTTAGTGATTCTCATTGACTCATCATTCAAATAGATTAACCATCCGCATTAATATTTATCAACTGTCAATTGATTGGTTGCTTGCTTTGGATGACAACTTGAAAGATCAAAGATTGTCAGTTGCAATTTGAATAATTTGGAATAGGAAAGTAAAATTTACAAGGGGCATGATGGTCGCATTGGCAAATAAGGAGGCAGATATTGATGTTTGAACATAGTAGGCTATTAAAATGTCAAATATGCACACAGGAACAAAAGAACTAAAGGGAAAATGAAGTTTAATAAATAGAATTTGTGGATGATGTTAATTGAAGTTAATGCATGCATACAATCCTAGAGTTGCTCTCAACTGTAGATATTTGAAAAAAAATTTGTCTACTAAATTACACATTCTGAGGGGAAAAAATGGCATTTAATTTTATTTAACCCACTGGTAGTTGATGGATCCCTTCTGCAGATCTTCCACCTGAGAAGGAACCACTAGATTGGAACACAAGAATGAAGATAGCGGCAGGTGCTGCCAAAGGTTTGGAATACCTGCATGATAAAGCAAGCCCTCCTGTTATTTATAGGGATTTTAAGTCATCCAACATTTTACTTGAAGAAGGATTTCATCCAAAGCTTTCTGATTTTGGGCTTGCAAAGCTTGGCCCCACTGGGGACAAGTCACATGTTTCCACCAGGGTCATGGGCACTTATGGTTATTGCGCTCCTGAGTATGCTATGACAGGACAATTGACTGTAAAATCTGACGTCTACAGTTTTGGGGTAGTGTTTTTAGAGCTGATTACTGGTCGTAAAGCCATTGACAGCACTCGACCACACGGAGAACAGAACCTCGTCACATGGGTAATAAACTTTGCGATTCTGCAACTTAACCCATTCTCTAATGTCTTGTATACACAAATTTTCTATGGTCACGTAATAATTGTGTTGGAGGTTTTACAATTATGCAGGCACGTCCATTATTCAATGATCGCAGGAAATTCTCAAAATTGGCAGATCCAAGACTGCAGGGACGTTATCCAATGAGAGGACTCTACCAGGCTCTAGCTGTGGCATCCATGTGCATCCAGGAGCAGGCTGCTGCGCGTCCTCTCATTGGGGATGTGGTCACTGCACTTTCTTATTTAGCGAACCAGGCATATGAACCTAATGGTCATGGCCACAGAGGTTCAGGGGACAGAGAAGAAAAAAGACATAGAGATGAGAGAGGTGGACAGCTATCAAAGAATGAGGAAGGTGGAGGATCTGGACGAAGATGGGACTTGGATGGGTCCGAGAAAGAGGACTCGCCAAGAGAAACTGCTAGGATGTTAAACAGGGATTTGGATAGAGAACGAGCTGTTGCAGAGGCCAAGATGTGGGGAGAAAATTGGCGAGAAAAAAGGCGACAAAGTGCTCAAGGAAGTTTTGATGGCAGTAATGGATAGTACACAACAACGACAATAATAATGCCTGGCATTATTTTTCCTCATTGTCTAGTTTCCTGCACTTCACCACCACAACCGAGTGAAGAAGAAACATTGGATATTTAAGCTTTGCTTGGACTGGTCCATCCAGACAGCTGCTTGTAAGGGAATTTGGTGCCAATTTCTCCTTAAAACTTCTTTTCTCATTCTCCCCCCTGTTTACATTACTTTTCGTTGAAACATAGAACAAGAAGATGATGATGATAACTAAGAAAAGCATAATGAGAGTGTACATTATCAGCTAGGAGAGCAAGAAAAGAACAAGACGTATTTATAAAATTTTGAGAGTGAAGACGTCTGGGTATGTTCTTCTTGCTCTTGTAGGTATGCTGTCTGTAATCTTGTTTTCTTCGACGTTGTTTACCGACTAATTAATGTAATTTTATCACCTAATTGATGCGGCATTCTCTTGATGCATTCTTCACACTTAGTTTAATTGATCACATTTTTGCATTTAAAATACTTCTTTTGTTAGTCTGAAAAAGACTCGATACAGCCATTTAACATAACAACTCCCCTTTTCAATATAATCAACAACTTTCCAGGAGCTGCTTTTCATTAGGGTAGGACTTCGAGATGCATGCAGAGTTTTTATCCAAGGTCTGGTTCCAGCTGCACCAATGTTTTATAAATATGTAAGTGTCTATTGCGTTGCATTAGATGAAAAGGGAAGCCATGGCAATAACGAAACGGAACTCATGAACCTCTTCTACATGTGGCCTGCTCAAAATGAGAAATTTTAAAATCTGAAAAGACTGCATGAAATTGGGGTCACAAGATGCTGCAAGCCATCAACTTCAAAGAAGACGAGCCTAATGTAAGCTATATTGTCTTTTTACCTAGGAAATATGATTTACAAATAAACTTTTTATAACACTAAAATTTTTATATAAGTCGATGTGTTGAGTGATGAGGGGTAAAGTATTGATCTTATAACTGATAAATGATTGATCTCTCACGACAAGTATGGTATCAGAATTTTTTTTTAAGAAATTTGTTTATTTATAGCATTAACAGTGCTCCCAAATAAAATTTATTAACGTAAAAAAACGAAAAAAACAAAATTAAAATTTGATTCATACATCTCTTTTCACAGAAGGGAAGCAGACACATCCCACTCACATAGAGTGTACAACATGAAAATTAATGCGACAGGTAGGGGATCAATGGCTCATTAGTGAGGTCATAATAAATAAATACAGGTGAATCAAACTGCACATTCATTTGATTGGGGGTTATCGTGTGAAGCTTCCATGCTTTTCTCGTTCTCCTTAGACTCCTCTGTTGGGTCATGCTCCTCTGCACCTTCATCAGGTTGAGCATCAACTGGATAAACTTCAGAAGCCCCTAATGGGCCTAGTATGACAATGCTCTTCAAGTTTTCACCTGGTTGCTTCTTTTCCTCAATAATAACTTTCTCTGCATTCCTGTAGATTCCATACAGCAGCATCTGAAGTAGCCCCAAGCCAAAGCCCAAGACGTTCGGAAGCTGCCAATTCACAAGGAAACAAAGAAATTGATTCACGGCTGAACTTGAATGAAACAGGTAGACTTTTTTGAAGTTAATGTTCGGAAATCACTTACAGCAACACACAAGTCCTTGACAAAAAGGCCATAGGCAAACCACATGACAGCGCTCAACGTAAGGAAAAAGGACAAGGTGAAAGGCATGAACTCAACGCTCTTTGTTCGAATTACTTGTTTCTACAAAAACCAAGTACATGATAGATGAAAAAACTTGAAGGTAGCTAAAATTATGAAATCGTAGCTCAGTAATCAGATAATAAAACTCACCACAATGTTTAAGGGAGCAGCAAAAACGCACACAGAGAAGGCAACACAAAGCCAACCAAGTGCCTTCACACGAACTGAACCACCAACTAGAAACTGTGTAAGGAGAAGGATCGAAGAGAACAACCCCATGTTCATGGAAACAAGTAGTTTGATTGTTGAGACCTGCATCCCAAAATTCAATTCATGTTATTAATTTGGATTATTATAAGCTAAATCTTGAATCTTGAATAAAGCAATGGGAGTTATAATTGATAAATCATGCATATATACCCTGCTCTCTCTTGTTGCATAAGCGACATAAATGGCAATGTAAATGGTCTCTATGACACATCCAAATGCGTTGATGGTGACAAGAAGAATTGCATCTTTTTTCATCATTGCATAGTAGAGCCAAAGCATAGAACTGAACAATGCCACAAGGTACGGCAATGACTGGAAATCTTCTGTTGATTTTTTCCTGAAAATTCTGATAAATGTTGGCCTGTAAAAAAAAAAAAAGATATTTAATATTTTCGTCATTGAATTTTCATAATCGAGAACAGATAGCAAGAAACATATCTATTTACAAGAATCACAATATATACTTACACTGGAGCCAGGTACACCATGAATGAGATAATGTTACCTGACATCATGCATAAAAGAGTTTTATTGATTAGTCAGCTAGTCATCCATAAAAATTAACAATAGTATGGAGCAACATTTGATGATCAGAAAATGAATAGGAACACAATTATGATTGAAAATATATATATATATTTTTCTTGCTTTCCTTCTCTGTGTTTTTTTTTTTTTTTTCAAATTTTTTTGTAAAGTGGCAGGAAGAGATCTCGAATATATGATCATTTTCGCCCATTTTTTTGCGAAGGTTAGTTCCCGTGAAAGAAAGGAGTATAGGTAGAACAATCATATATACATTTTTGGTTACAATTTATCATATATACTTGAAGAATGAGGAAGGTAGATGGTGAGTTGATTATTATCAAGTTCACACTAATTACAAGAATTAAGGATCTTTGGCTTTATTACTAACAAAGCAAACGGCTATATATCTAGAAACCAACAACTACATCTTAGACAAATTACTTAATTAATTAGCATTATACTTGCGTGACAAAACGTTGAAGAAGAAGATGTAATTAGATTGAAAATCTAGAAACTAACTGTTCGCTATACCATGCGCGTAAAGGGGATTAACTAATGAGGATGCCAAAGAAAAAAGATTTGCAATAGTTGGTAATGTTAAACTTGTAGAATATCTAGATACCACAAACTGAAATGATATCAAAAAAGGAAAAATAGCAAGAAGTACTTAATTTGCAATCTACACAAGGAATATATATTGAAATGAATATATATTTAGGGAGAATGTAAACTAAAAAAAAAAAGGAAAAGAAAAAGAACAGAAGAAGAAGAAGAAGAAGAAAGAAAGAAAGAAAAGGGAGGAAGTTCTTGTTGCTATATATAGCTGGCCTTCAGTATATTTGTAATGTCCCCTCGTTTTTTTTTTTTATTATCTTGAGAAGTGAGCTCTGAAATTATTTTCTCTTTGAAAAGAAAAGAAAAGAAAGTGGGAGTGAAGGAAGTAAGCATATATTATGTCTATACGTATATATACCTAGGATGCCAGATGTAAATGCCAAAGGATGGTGCATGCTCATCACTGCCATCTGAGCTTCCTTCTCAATAAACAACACAAAAAACTACAATCTCTGTATATGTGGAAACTAGGAAACAAGAGAAGCAGGGCCTCAAGCAGAGAAAGGAACCCTTGCTTTCTGTCTCTAAGAACTATTAGCTAAATAAAACCCTCTCTCTCTCAATGATCTCATGCAAACAATTAAAAGAAGGAGATGGCAAGCCAAAGGTTTGCGCAGCCTTTATATACACAAAAAAAAATTCACACCATTCATTTCCATGTGAAAAATCATTCAGGAGAGTGTGCGTATTGAACTCATTCTTGTTGCATGACAAGTGTTTAATTAGTAGGTGGCGTAGCCCAAATTCATTTTACACAATCACATTTCCTTCTCCCACGTAACCCCATCCTCGCGTGCCTTCCATTCTGACCCACTTTACGGGCATGCATGCAATTGGGGAAAAAAAATCACTTTTAACCAAGAGACTTTTCCCTCTTTTTTTTACTACATGGCTGTAACAATTCATTATTTCATTTGCTATTAATTGATCTATATAGGAATTTCCTTAATCACGAATTTTGGGACACGCACTTTGAAAGAGAGTGAGATGAATTAATGAAGAATGTGTTAAGGTTCTTACGTTACTAACATACAGCAAAGGTATTCCCTGTTATAAAGCTTAATTCACGTGACTTCTCCATAGCTTTTCTTTTATTTTCTTTTAGCCGTTTCGATCTCTTCACTATATATTTTTCTTCTTGAATTCTCTCAAATAAACAGAGAAAAAAAAAAAAAACCAAACACGCGTTGACGCGTCAGCTTAGGTTCTAGCATTTCTGTTTTTGTTTGATAGTAATGTGGTGTGTGCATGCATATGTATGGTTTTATGTAGGGATCCATTCATTAGCTACAATAAATGCCGCGTTATGGAGGGGATCTTACTTTTTTCTCCTCGAAGCCATCTGTTTTTGCAGTTATAAATGGAGAAAGCAAATGACAAGATACATGACCTAGCTATTTCATAAAACAACAATGATTTGCTGTTATTCTTTTTGTTGTTGTCATTATTATTTCTAGCTAGCTAGGTTTAGAATTCATTTTGGGAATATGTTCGCATCAGGCTAGCTAGCTAGGTGGAATTAATTCATTTAGCTAATTAATTTAACAGCTCATTCGTCGTTCTCGCTAAGCCTTAAGTCATTAATAGTGTACTAACTACTGGCTAGATGGCAATATATATAGCTAATGTCTTGAATTTCTTCACTCGACGTCTATAAGTTTCTTTAAAAGGGTATTGTTTAATTAATTAGTTCTGTAAACGATTTTAGGGTTTGCTCTAAATTATGTTGATGTATAGTGTGTGCCAGGGGCTGCTGTGCTAGCTAGATTAGCTTAACTGAGACCCCACTAAATACTAATTAGCTTTGTATTACCACTTTTGTTACTCGTGCTCACCAAATACTTATAATATTCTTTTCAATAATTAAATAGAGAGGAAGGGTCCAAATGGGAGTTAACGGCTTTCGTCTTTTTCAGCGCATATGAATTTAATCCGGTGTTTGTCTGCTTTTGGTTTGAATGTAAAAATACGTATGTGTGATGTGTCTGTCACTGCTCTTGTAATCAAACAATTATTGTTCTTCCTATTTCAATGATTAAATGGACATGACAGAGTAGGATGAAAAATTAATGATAAACGCAAGGATTCAAATCAATGAAGATATACATAGCTCTCAGACAGCAGGATGAATAAAAATTTAAAAGTTATGCGACCAAACTCAACCTGGTGCTGACATTTGTTACCTGAAAAAACAAGTTCTATCAGCTAATTAAGCGTACAATCTGATCATACGCGTGGCATAGCTGATTGCTATACATTTCTTGATTGGAAGACATCCATCTCCTATAATAATTGAAGGTAAACAGTAAGTAGCTACGTATACCTCGGCAGAATTGCTAGAGAATATGTGATCTATCGGGTAACAAAACTTCAAGTTTCAATCAAAGGCAACCTGAGATACTACCTAGCTATGTGTGCTTTTTAAGTGTCCCCATTTTTTTAAATTTCTTCCGTTCGTTTCAGCCACTTCAGCACATCATTATTGGAATGGTGATAAGGTGGTGGGGTAAGTAAACATGAGGATATCACAATGCGTTAATGTGTGAAGCTTAATTGGATTTTCATTTGATTAATATGAATAGCCTTATAAGTACTATGCTCCACTTAAAGATAATTTTCTTTTTTTTTGGGGATAAAAAGCTGATCAATTCCGTAACTTTAGAACTCCTATATATCTACTACTCTTATCTTTGGGCTTTTTTGCTGACAAAAATTCTAATGATGTGGCAATCATTTGATTACTAGCTAGCTTAATTAAGATAAATCTTCAATATATGTCCCCTTAATTTGTACAACATTTGAAATCGTTTCGTAATGGACACTCATTCTTTCTTTGGTTGTACTCTTGAGTTAATCCCTCTTGCATGAGGTCATGAACAATCATGAGTGGATTAAGGAATCACTACTAATCTCAATCTAAATCCTCTCATAAGAAACTTTCGTACACAACTCTTTTAATCTACCATCAACCGCATTAACTCTTAGACCCTCAATTATTGAACAAAAAAATTATCTGTTAAATAAGTAGGGATATATTAAATCAGGAACACTGATCAGATTGGTTCTATGGTGTAGTGGTTAGCACTCTGGACTTTGAATCCAGCGACCTGGGTTCGACTCCCGGTAGGACCTTTTTTAATCCACTATTTTTCACATTTAACCCTCCAATTTTCCCAATTCTACGATTGCACCCTTCAAAAGACAACGGTCATAATGCCCATATTGGAAACCCTGTCGTTTTAGGGCTTCTTATCTTCTACTACCAAATTTTCTCACAATCCAACAAACCACAAAGCCAGAAATGGAGCACTACAGAACTCTCCGAATATTCCAAAAATCCCCAAACTCGGGTGTTTTCCACTTGAATCTCAACCGTCAATCTCAACGCAACGCCTTATCACGTGACTTCTTCACCGAATTCCCAATTGCTTTCCAATCCCTCGACCAAAACCCTAACGCGTCCGTCATCCTCCTCTCTGGTACCGGCGATCACTTCTGCTCCGGTATCGACATCAATACCCTAAACTCCACCGCCGACGATTCCGGCGATCGTGGACGATCCGGAGAGAAGCTACGGCGAGACATTAAGTTCCTGCAGGACGCGATCACGGCGATCGAGCGGTGTAGGAAGCCGGTGATCGCTGCGATAAAAGGAGCGTGCATTGGTGGCGGTATCGATATAATTACAGCCTGTGACATTCGGTTTTGCAGTGAAGATGCTTTTTTTCGGTGAAGGAAGTTGATTTGGGGTTAACAGCGGATTTAGGGACTTTACAGAGGTTGCCGGGGATTGTTGGGTTTGGTAATGCAATGGAATTGGCTTTGACGGGTCGGAGGTTTTCGGGTCAGGAAGCAAAAGAGTTGGGTTTGGTTTCTCGGGTTTTTGGGTCGAAAGAGGAATTGGATGAGGGCGTTAGAATCATCGCCGAGGGTAAGTTGGGATTTTCCTTTCGTTGCTTTCGGCATTTTCAGTTATTAATAGTTTTACAATTAGCTAGTACGTATGGTGGGGTAGTTTGATTTCATTTAAAGAATTAGTCTGACCAATTTCCTACGAGAAGTCTAGAATGCCTATTTTTGAACATCGGTGCAATCTTGATTATCATCAAGAAAATTAGTTTTGAATTCAATAGCAAATCCAAAAGCCGTGATGGCTATTGCACTGGAGCAACCCCATGTCTTCGTTATCAAAATAAAAGAAATTATAGACAATGTGTTGATCCATGACGAATGATGATGCATATGCAGATGTAATCTATGTATGCATTGAAGGTATCAAGGGAGTTATGTGGTTAATTAGGTTTTGTGAAAGCAACTGTAGCTCCTTTTGTTAGAAACTTGTTTAAGTAGGATTCTTGTTTGATTTTGCTATGATGTTTACCATTTTCTCTTTATTGTTTTTCTTAGCGAACCAAACTTCACTCTGCTTGCTGGTATCTTGTGATGTTTATTGTATTGGTAAGTTGAGGCATTGTGAGAGAAATGTAGCAACTGCCTCATAAATGATTGTTTGTGGTTGGCTGTAGTAGTCATTGTTTGTATTGTTAGCTTAACATGGTAACTGCGTCAGTAAACTTCGCATTTCATGTTTTGGGAAACCATACAATAACTGAAGATAATGTTTTGTGAGGGTGATTTTGACAGGGATTGCAGCAAAGTCGCCTCTTGCTGTCACTGGAACAAAAGCCGTCCTATTAAGAAGCCGCGACGCAAGTTTAGAACAAGGGTTGGATTATGTAGCGACTTGGAACTCTGCAATGCTTTTGTCTGAGGATCTAAGGGAGGCTGTCTCAGCACATTTGCAGAAAAGAAAACCCACCTTTTCCAAGCTTTAATCCTGTCTTCATGGATTGGGCTACATGCCAACTTTTTCAATTATGGGATCTACTTTTGATTTCCTATCAAATAAAATAACTTGATGTATTATTCTTCAACGCCCCATGTTGCATCATATCTCGACCTTGTAAGAAGATAAATGCGTTGTTGTTGAACAGTTGTTACTGCAAATGGAAGTCCAGTGGGTCGTTCACCCAATCACAGTCAATATTCCCTCTTAGATAAGTTCTCATATAGAAGTGTCAAAAATCCAATCTCGCTTGAAAGAGAAAGAAATATGTCGAAGATGAAACAGAAAATGGAACTCTAATTCTAGTTTTGGCTATCAAAAAATGAAGGAAGACTAGAAGTCAATGGATGGCTATTCTTGGCCTTCTAAACTTTGGATCATGGATCACATGACTGCAGTTTAGGGAATTCGGAATCATCTGATCTCATTTAGTTGCTAACAGCCGAAATTTTAGATATTCAATTCTCTTTCAAAATGAGAAGAATTTTGAGATGCCAAGGACCATGGACTCTTTTTTTTTTCCCCCTTTAAATATCCTGATTTTTTTTTATTAAGTTATCTAATGTCTTTATTTTTACTAATAATTACACAAATATTTTAAGAGCCTAGTATTAGTATATGTATTTAATAGAGTATGCATTTAAACGATTAATATGTAGTTCAATGACTTTAATTAATTGCGTACCAAAATAATTAATATGTTATGTACATTATGTAATTTGTTGGTATATATATTATTTCACACAATAACAATAATTATAAAAATTAAATTTATTATTGATTCTCTTCAATATTTAGTGTTAAACACAAATTAGTACAAGTGTTTACATTAAAAAGAAAGATAAATATCTTATTATCAAATTATATACTTTAAATTTTCAGAGTAAAATGATAAACTTATTTAGATTCTTCCTAAATTCTCAAAGGTGAACCAAACACAATAAATACATATTATTAAGACTTTTTATTTTCAACCAAACACAAATACAACATTCTCAACAATTATATTTCTAACAATCACATTCTTAGCTATCAAATTCCAAGAAAACATTTGAAATTTTGCTTACCAAACATCCCCTATGAGCTTTCATGTTTGGAGATTAGTGGTTTCCGACTCTTATAGTTTATGCAGCTTTTTTTTATTATTATTATTTTAATGCTTCTTTTAAATCGCTCGACCTTTTTTAAAGGGTAGCACTCACCAAACTCGGTCCCTATCACCCCTCCCGAGTCTGAATTTCAGATATCTTTGTAGAAATTGCATGTCTTATCAGGTAGCACACCTTCCTCGTTTTATTTTTTCGGCGTATATATTACTCCCTCTGCAGGGGCCTTGTGATTTTATCTCGAGTATCACATGTTTCAATGCTAAAAGCAGTACAACTTGACCAAGCTCAACTTGGGCATTTGATGAATTGGTTTGATTTCTTAATTTACACTTTTCACTAATCATTAAGTATTCTGGCTAAAAGTTTCTTCTGATTTGCTTTCTCTAGGAAAAACAATTTCGTTGCTTTTGAGAATCTTCTATCCATGATTGACCAGTTTAGTTTGATTTTATCTCCAAACTGAAAGCACTACAGGCCTAGATTACTTGGCCTTCAAGCCTAGTCACAACTTGATAGACATATAACCTAGACGTGGGAAAATCAGGGAAAGCCCAAGAGCCCAAGGAGCTATTCCAAACTAAAGACAACATACAAAAGCACTACTGCACGAGAGATTTGAGCCATGTATACTCGCTGATTTTATGGGAAACGCCTTGTTGTTGTTGTTGTTATTGCTATTGATATTGCTGTTATTATTGTTATTAGATTTTCATCTAAAAAATTCATTTATTTATTTTTGAATTTCTCAAATCTAAAACAACATATATATATATATATTTTTTTTACCAAAACACTTAACAATTAACTATCGCAACTTGCTTGTCGTCCAATCCATGGTAGAAAAATATGAATTCCATAAGCACAACGAAGAATGCAACTTGCTTGCCCAGTTGCATAAAAGGTTTTCTACATGCATAACTAAAAGCAGTTCTTTTCCACTCATATCGAGAATATTAATTTTAAGTTAATTTCATAGTTTGAAAATGAGAATATCATTTAAAACTCTCAAAGGTCTTTGGATTAGTTTGTGTGGTTTTAACGGTATGGTCCAAGTGCCAGCCATAAACCTTCGGCGAAGAAATGGTATCTATATTTACATATCTGTTTCTCACTAATTAAACCACTTAATCCTCAATCAAACTAGAATTTTAGTCATAAAATGACAATTAAACATAAAAGAAATGATAGAACTCAGTATGTCTAGTGAGAATTTTAAAAATAATTTCCACTTTCTTTAATAAGGAAAGAAAATAAAAAAAGAAAAATAGAAACAAAACCAAACGGCTCTTTTGATATGGATGCTGCTAGCTAGCTAGCTAGCTAGTTTGGCAGATGTAATCCTTTGGTATGGTACCGAATCCTTTGATGTGGATCCAAATTTGTTCATCAATCAGCTAATGTAACCTTGAAATTTCAGGCATGCTTAATTTGCTGATTGATGAACAACGCACGTGACTACTGTTCTGAAGTATTTGGATCAAACAGTTTATTGCTTGTTTTTTTCCAATAGTTGATGCTTGCTTGTTGCGTGGGAATATAGCCAAGCAAATTAATGCAACGTGCTTGTTGTCCACCATACAAAAATTCGAACACCAGAAGGTGCGGCACGAAGAGTTCATCAAGATCAATTCCACCATTATGAAGCATGGGCGAAAATTTTATATACAGGACGAAGTGCTAGTGCTTTTCCGCCCATATCTCATGTTTATTGAGATTGATTAGCTTTTCCTTCAATGAATTTGAACTATTAATTAAAAAGCCAAACTGTTTTCCCATTAAAATCAAGTAGCACATTATTAATGATTGCCGCTATATATATATACACTCACACACAAAAGGATGTACATGCATTCAACGCCAAGGTAAACTTCAAGATTACTTTAGCTCAAAGGCATCCAATGGGCTAGCTTCCTTTTGAATGGTGAATTCACTGTGTATTTGACAATATTCTCTGCACCAATTAATTGATTAAAGCAAATTTCCTGTATTAAAAGGCAAATCTTGTATTATGCTTTTACGGCTGTCAGCCAAACAACCAAACCAAGCTCCACCAACCAAAATGGACATATAATATATTTAATAAATAAAAACACATTCCAAGCTCCACCAACCCAAATGGACATATAATATATTTATTAAATAAAAACACATTCCGAAAATTATTTCTGTGGAATAGCACCCAAAATGATGTTATCATGTTTTTCAAACAATGGCATATCATTATCAAAAGCACTTATTTTTTGAGTTGGTATCAAATGTTGAAAAAAAGAGAATACATCATTATATATACTTCATTCTATGTAATTTAACGAATTTCTTAGCTTTATATATATAATAAAAACACATTCCTAAAATTATTTCTGTGGAATAGCACCCAAAATGATGTTATCATGTTTTTCAAACAATGGCATATCATTATCAAAAGCACTTATTTTTGAGTTGGTATCAAAGGTTGACAAAAAGAGAATACATCATTATATATCCTTCATTCTATGTAATTTGACGAATTTCTTAGCTTTATATATATATAGGCGGGAAACCTAAAGTTAAAGAGTTTTAAATATTTTTTTCTTATTATTATAGTTTTTTGTAGGCTATTATTCTCCTCCATTTATTTACTTAATCATCAGATGGTCTTCCATCTAACTACAAAAACTTTTTTTGTAGGTATTTGCTCCACCAAAACTATTATTTCTAACGAATTAAGTAGTATAATCATAATTTCAGCTATTGAAAAAAATATATTATTTTTCAAAGTTTTTTGACTTCATCACCACCGCTACTATTATGTTAATTGTTAAAAGAAATTTAATGATTATAGAATCATTTAGCCAATTTTAAAAAATTAAAACTTTTTTTTATTAATTGGAAATTTTAATTAAATCATCAACAAAATGATGTTTCACAAAAAAAAAATTCTTTGTTATAATTCAGACCTAAATAATAGTATGGAAAAGAAACACAGCTATAATCCAAAATTATGTTTAAAAGAGGTAAAAGCTTGCGACTATGATATGATCTATAACCAACCATCATATTTTCTTTTGATGGCGTAGACCATATGATTAGACAAAGCAACCAAGGAAAGCAAAATCAAATTTGCTTTCGCTAAACTAGTAAACCTTTGTATTCTCAACACGTTGATTAAACTATGTAACGCTAGTGGCGTTTCTCCTAATCAAATCTTTTCATCATCAATCTAATCTACAAGGTTCAGACTGAAAACGTGTCCTAAGCTTCAGGGACATTGTCTGCTACATATCCCTAATTTTCCATATATTAAGGAGCTGAGTGAGCAGTGTATTATTATTATTATTATTGAATAGCAAGTCCTTCCTAATATCTTAAAAACATACTTCCTACACTACATCAATTTAGTAGGGATGGCAATCCAACTCGTCACGATGTCACCCCGTTTGAGATAGGGATGGGGAATGAAATTTTGCTTCGAATGATGCACGAGGTGGGAATGAGTTTTTTTTTTTTGGGAGGCGGGGCGGGGATAGTCATCCCCATTCCTGCGGGTTTTTGCTTTTAAAAAAGTAATCCGACGAGGCCCCGTCCTACCCCGCCTCTTTTGGGATTGGGATGGAGAGAGAAATTTCATTTCGAATGAGACATGGGGCGGGGATGGGGATGACGATCCCTACCCCGCCCCACCCCATTGCCATCCTTACAATTTAGTATATTTAAAAAAATAACTTAATAATAATTTAATAAATTCTTTCAATGCTAATATTAAAATCAAGGAAATTCAACGAATAAAACACATTTTCTTAATCCCTTGACGATTATGTTGGAGTTAGCAATATACTATGAAAGTAACAGATTCCGTAGCTAATAGTTGACGCGCGAGACCAATTCTCCTTTGGGTCTTGTGGTTTGGTGTTGGATTTCTAACCCGAAAAACAAGGGATCGAAAATTGGTCACAAGCAATAACATGAGTGAATTATAAATTAGTCCTTAGAAAAAAAAAGCAAGAATTTGATTTAAAAGCAATGCATTTGATAGGTAGTTAAATTTGCCGCAAGGTTTGAAGGTTTAAAAATGGATAATTTTCCGAGTGCTATGTGTAGAATTTTGAAACATACCGATTGTTTTGAAAATAACGTGAAATTTAGGATTTTGACGTATTTTTTAAAAATTTTACTTCATGGTAGCGAGTAAATTTAATTTGGAATTCAGTTGGGCATTGAGGAAATTACAAATAACTAGCTAGTCTTTTCCATTTGTACGATCTTTCAAAAGCCTTGATAAATTCACATCGATCACACTTATAGAGAGGCTAATCGATTGGCGGATTGGCTTACTTCATATGCTTACTCACTTTCGAAGGGAATTTCGTATTTTGAACATGCCCTATTAGGGTGTATTAAACTCATTCTAGAGGACATCCGTGGTGTAAACTCTTTAAGATTTTGTAACAGTACATCTTATTATTTAGAGCTTTTCCTCTTCCTTGTATATATATATATATATATAAAGGATAATTGTTATATGAGTAATTTTTAAGGGTGGAAAAATTGATGAGAACTAAAAAGGGATGTTAAAAACCATATGTACTAATTAATATATGTTTGAGGGTTTTACTAAGTAAATCAAAGAGGAACAAGAAAAGGTTATGAGTTGAAGTAGAGAAAGAAAAATTAGAAAAGACAATACAAAATCTTTTACCTCTCTCCTCGCTTCAAGGTTAAATTTTACCCAATAAACAAGATTTTTTTGGGTTATTTTGTAATCTTTTTTAACATTTCCTCTACCACGGTATTTGTGTAGAAAACAATATCAACAATCCTCTAAAAAAAAGTAGCCAATTCGTCTCGATGTTGCCCTGTTTAAGACGGGGATGGGGCACGAAATTTTGCTTCGAATGAGGCACGGGATGGGAATGAGTTTTTTTTTTTTGAAAGGCGGGGTGGGGATAGTCATCCACATTCCTGCGGACTTTTGCTTTTAAAAAGGTAATCGACGGGGCCCCGTCCCGCCCGCCTCTTTTGGGGTAGGAATGGGGAGCGAAATTTCATCTCGAACGAGACACGGGAGGAGGATGGGGATGGCGATCCCCACCCGCCCCACCCCATTGCCATCCCTACAATTTAGTATATTTAAAAAAATAACTTAATAATAATTTAATAAATTCTTTCAATGCTGGTATAAAAATCAAGGAAATTCAACAAATAAAACAAATTTTCTTAATCCCTTGACAATTATGTTGGAGTTAGCAATATACTATGAAAGTAACGGATATCGTAGGCGACAGTTGACATGCGAGACCAATTCTCTTTTGGGCCTTGTGGTTTGGTGTTGGATTTCTAACTTAGGAAACAAGGGATCGAAAATTGGTAACAACAATAACATGAGTTAATTAGAAATTAGTCCTTAGAAAAAAAGCGAGAATTTGATTTAAAAACAATGCATTGGATAGGTAGTTAAATTTGTTGCAAGGTTTGAAGGTTTAAAAATGGATAATTGTACGGTGCAATTTGCGGAATTTGGGAACATACTGATTGTTTTGAAAATAACATGAAATTTAGGATTTTGACGTATTTTTTAAAAATTTTACCTCATGGTAGCGATAAATTTAATTTGGAATTCAGTTGGGCATTGAGGAAATTATAGATAATTAGCTAGTCTCTTCCATTTGTACGAGTTTTCGAAGCCTTGGCAAATTCACATCGATCACACTTATAGATAGGCTAATCGATTGGCGGATTGGCTTACTTCATATGCTTACTCACTTTCGAAGGAAATTTCATATTTTGAACATGCCCCACTCGGGGTGTATTAAACTTATTCTAAAGGACATATGTGGTGTAACCTCTTTAAGATTTTGTAATAGTCATCTTATTATTTAGAGCTTTTCCTCTTCCTTGTATTAAAAAAAAAAGGGATAATTGTTATATGAGTAATTTTTTTTAAGGGTGGAAAAATTGATGAGAACTAAAAAGAGATGTTAAAAACCATATGTACTAATTAATATGTGTTTGAGGGTTTTACTAAGTAAATCAAAGAGGAACAAGAAAAGGTTATGAGTTGAAGTAGAGAAAGAAAAATTAGAAAAGACAATATAAAAGCTTTTACCTCTCTCCTTCTTCAAGGTTAAATTTTACCCAATAAACAGGATTTTTTTGGGTTATTTTGTAATTTTTTTAAGAATTCCTCTACCACAGTATTTGTATAGAAAACAATATCAACAATCCTCTAAAAAAAAAAAAAAGTAGCCAATGCATGGTACAACTTTAACCCCAGAGATTATTCGTATACCACAAATCTCGATGTTGGAAGTGATATTCTTAGCATTATTACCGGTCTTGATTGGAAATAGAAATTGGCAAAAGTTTAATTGTTCGTGCCTTCTGTTGGAATCAATTAGGCACATATTTGTAAGTTACATGAGCACACATTGATTGCTTACGTTTGGATGGTCACCTAATTACAACAGCAGGGAGAAAGAGAGAGAGAGAGAGAGAGATAGAAAGTTCAAAAAATGAAAAAGGAGGAACTTAGCACCAAAAGAATACGTAGAAAAAATAATACGCAGTCTCTCTACCATTTATATTTGAGCAAAAAAAAACCATTCAAAATTCGGTCAAATCAATTCTTTGCTTTCAATTAGTAAAACTCATTTGAGTCCATTCTTCAAATTTCATCATGTATTAATTAAATAGAATTCAATAATAAATTTTATCTTCATTCTATTGTAATTTTGTCTTCATTCTATTGCAATTTGATAATTTTGAATTTATGGTATCAAAATATATAATTTGAATATCAAAGTATTAAAAATTAGACGAGATGTGATTTAAATTACTCAATCTCTCGTTAAGTGTAACGATCAGCTAAGTTGATCTGTTACTTTATGTTTTATTTTAAAAAATATTTTTAACCCTCATAATCTTGAACTTTTTTTAAGAATTTTTTTGCTTATAAAATATTATAAATATTTTTAACCTCTTAATTTTGAAATTTTTTAATTTTTTTTTATAAAATGTTATAGTAAAAAAACATAATTAACAATACAAAATTCTAGGCCTTAAAAAAGTATTTTTAAATTAAAATGAGCATAATTAAGGGTTGACTCCCTAATTTAATAAATTATAAAAAAAATTATAGAAATTTTATAATATTTTATAAAAAAAGTTAAAAAAATGGGGGTTAAAAATATTTACAAAATATTTTTTATATATAATTTATAAAATGTTTATAATATTTTAAGAAAAAAAAGTTTAAGATTATGGGATTTATGATATTTTTTAAACGTTATTTTAAAAAATATATATATAATTATCGGTGAAATGTCAAAATTACGTCGCTTTGACATTTTAAGTAACGATTAACTCGAATTGATCCTCATACATAACGTAAACTAGACAATTTAGATTATATATGTTCAATCTACAATACTTTAGGATCCAAATTATGTGATTTGGTACCGTGGGTATGAAATTGTCAAATCATAATAGAATGAAAGCAAAATTTGCTACAATGTAATTGAACCAAGAATACGAAATCACTTTACATTTTAAAATTGAAAGTAAAATATTTAATTTAACCAAAATTAAAATAGGGTGTTCCATTCGATCAAACATGCGAAGTATAAAAACTCACATAATTTTTTATTTTTATTTATTTATTTATTGTTCTTTTACCATTCCATATGATCAAATTATACTTCTAATCACACATATTGTTAAAGATGTAATCAAATGTGCAATGGATGTATATAATTTCTACTGTACAGGCAATATATATACAAGCACCAATGAATTTTATTCATTACTGAAAAAACACAATGGAATGGAAAAGAGTATGGGAATAAGCACACACATGTATATAGAATTACATTATAGGTTTGGAAAATCATTAAGTTGGAATGAGGTTATCGAAGATTCTTGTATTTGATCTCTCTACCATCATCTAGAAGATGGAGACAGCCAAGACAGTACTGCTGCTCAACTGTTTCTCGTGTGATCAGAAAATGCCATCCATTTATAAGTTTGTTTGTTTGTGTTTTTTTTTTGGTCACCTTTGCCTGCCTGGATCTAATTATTCTCAAAACGCAACAATCCAGCCATGGGTCATAGCTTCATGATTACCTCCATTAAAGGGCAACCTAATTTAGAAGTTTATCTAAAACTGAAACGCTAAACTTAATGGATTTGTGGTTGGTGTAATGACTCAACATTGTGCCTAAAAAATTTGAACAACAGAAACAATGAGATTAATGAATTGAGCACGGCAATTTCCTAAGAAAGAAGTTAACTTTCTCTAAATTAATGGAATATTCTATCCTATCTCTGGAGCCTTCCCTGAAGGAATTAAGAATATTCTCCTTAAATAAACTAAAAAATAAAAAAAAATCTTCTTTTGCATGTGTAGCCCTTTAAATACACCCATATTTCTACACACATACAACGCTCAAACCAGCTTCTCCGAGAAACGAACCTCAAAATCCTTATCGTGTCTCTCCTCTTCCACTCATAAAATTAATCTGTTGATAAAAGAATGGCTCTAAAAGCTGTTCATGTCTCTGATCTTCCAAATCTTGATCAAGTCCAAGAAAATGCAGCATTGGCTTTCTTTTCTTCCCGGTTGAACACTCAATGTAAGTAATTCTCGATCAATCACCACCTCCTCATTGAACCCTTAATTTTCATCCTTTCTTGCATTCTTGATCTATATTTCTCTTATAAATCATAATTTAATTTTCCTTGTTTAATTGACAACGATTAGGTGCGACTATCGAGGAAAGGGATGACCCAAAGCGAGGATTTAAATTCCCAAAGTTTGTGGTGATGGGACATAGAGGCAGTGGAATGAACCTGTTACAATCTTGTGATCGGAGAATGAAATCAATGAAGGAGAATTCAATTCTCTCCTTCAATTTTGCTTCCAAGTTACCTCTGGATTTCATTGAATTCGATGTTCAGGTAAAAGATTAATCAAAACTTGCGGCAAAATTGTTTATCTCCTTGTCTCAACAATTAAAGTTGTTGATATATTATTTATATTTTGTGTGAATGTCTTTATAAACTATAGAGGAACAAACAAGCAAAATAAGTAAAAGCTGTCAGGTTTCTTCTGTCTCCATTCGTCGCATACCTGACGCGGCTTTTTATCAACTTATTTTCTTGTTGCCACGTCTGTGGTCTGGTTTGCTGGCCTGGTTCTTTGGATTTTGTCTCTTCTTTCTTAATCCTATTGGTGTCAGTCCAACGACACGCCGTTGTTTGCATTTGGTGATCTAGAACGTGGCCTTCTCACCTTTGTCCAGGTTCATACAATGGATTTATGGCCGAGATTTGTCATGGGCTTTCTGTGAATGCTTAACCATATTTGCTTCTATTTATGACATCATCTTTCGACCATAAATTCATGAAATTTTATCGACACTCGAGATAAAAGGGCTTAAAAGATAAAAGGAAGGTGTAAAAAAAAAAAAAAAAACCTCTATAATAAAAGTCGTTTCTATTTTTGTCATGTCCACCCAAGACCTCAACTTCAGAGGCCCAAGACCTTATCACCTTTTTTTTTCTTCTTTTCTGTTGATTTCTTGTTTGTGATTGACTGTAAAAATTAGAATCTCAATTGAAGGGTGCTGATTAGTTTCCTTATGTTGGTTTGTTTTTCCTTTTCTTGATTTTACTGTTAGTGAGCGAAGATCCTTTTAAAAGGAACAGTAAAAAAAAAAATACCAACATATTTGTTGTAGGTGACCAAAGATGACTGTCCAGTCATTTTCCATGACAACTTCATCCTCGCTGAAGACAAGGTTAGCCCTTTTCTAACAATAGTTCTCGTTCCATTTTTTGGTCATTATAAGATACCTGGTCAATACTGATTATTCATTGCATTGGCTGTTCGTTTTCAGGGTGAACTTATTGAGACGAGAGTTACAGACCTCACTTTAGCTGAGTTTCTTTCCTATGGACCCCAAGAAGAAGTTGGCAATGTATGTAAACTTTTTACTATCTTCAAATCTTGACCTTTCTTTAATTAAAATGCCGTATGCTAATGGCTTCTTGTGCACTCAATTGTAATAAAATTTCAGGTGGGGAAGCCTTTATTTAGGAAAACAAAAGATGGGAGAATCTTTGAATGGAAGGTTGAAGAAGATGCCCCTTTTTGTACACTACAACAGGTATTCCAGAAAGTTGATGATACAATGGGCTTTAATATCGAATTGAAGTTTGACGATAACATAGTCTATAAAGAGGAAGAAATAACACATATTCTTCAAGTGATTTTGCAGGTATTTATTCTTGCTTGTCCAGCTTTTCGATGTTTAGTGAATTTGATCTTTGCAGTTAATTAATTAGTAATGGCTAATGTGCACTGAAATTTCATGAGCTAGGTGGTGTTTGAGCATGCCAAGGGGAGACGTATAATGTTCTCAAGCTTTCAACCTGATGCAGCTCTGTTAATGAGGAAATTGCAGAGTACCTACCCTGTAAGATAGCTTTCTAATTAGTGTTTTCACTAAAGCTAATTCGAACTAGGACATCTGACGTCTGTATAAAGTTTCTTTCCTCTGGTTCAAATGAATTTTGGTTGTTCGGATCATTTTAAAGGTCTTTCCTGATGTTGTAATCCAGGTGTTCTTCCTAACTAATGGAGGATCCGAAATTTACACGGATGTGAGAAGGAATTCCTTGGATGAGGCCATTAAGGTTTGCACAGAAGGTGGCCTCCAAGGAATAGTCTCTGAAGTCAAAGCTGTCTTCAGAAATCCAGGAGCAGTGACAAGAATTAAAGAATCTAAGCTTTCTCTAATTACCTTTGGCCAATCGAAGTAAGAATTTCCTACTTTAATTTCTTCCAAACTAGTAACATTCCCTAAATTTTTGAACCAATAGTTTATGTTTGATGTTAGTTTACGTTGAAAATATTTGCAAATTTGCAGTAATGTGCCAGAGGTGGTATACACGCAACATTTGATGGGCATTGAAGGGGTGATTGTTGACCTAGTTCAGGAGATAACGGAGACAGTCTCCCGTTTTAGAGACTCTGCCAAAGATGGAGAAGAATTGAGCTTGTTTGGGGAGGAAGGGAAGGTCCAAGTGAAAACAAAGCCTCGATTTTCAAGTGAAGAGCTCTCTTTCCTGCTGAAGCTTATATCTGAATTTATTCAGTCTTGAAATGTGTTGCATCTACCAGTATATTTAATTCCCTTAGCATCAAACAAAATTTGGTTTTGGAAAGGATGTGTTCTTCCCTTCCATCCCCATGTCTTTGTGTGTACATTATAGCCTTTTGATCTCATGAGTCATCTGTAAATTGTAGGTACAAATTAATCATCATCTTTAGCTACCCTTTCCATGCCCGCTTCTACAAGAAGCTATGGGTTAGACTGTATTTGTCAGGAAAGCTTTGAAGTTAAACCGCTTCAAGCTTTTATGTACTTAATGGGGAAAAAAATTAAAAAGTGAAATACATGTTACCATTATTGTTATAAAAATCTTCTTGTTTTTGTTTGTAACAGCAGAATTGATGACAAGAATCTCTGTTTTCTTTTTTTTTTTTTTTCATTTTTCAATCCTGGTTCAATAATCAGAGTTTTTCCTTGAATGTGAAAAAATGAAGTTAAGGGCATCAAGACTTCTACTACAATCAGACACTCAATAAATCAATTTAATTGGTGAATAATATAACTACACTGACAGATTCAGTTGGTTAAACAAGTTGATATGAGTGTGTTTATATTTCGAGTATTAATCATTAGATTCACTAGTTCAAAAGTGTGTGGCAATAAGCTTATTGTTTTTTTTTTTTTTTGAGGGGCTAGGAGCTCAAGAAGAGTAGATCATAAATTAGTCCTTTTTATTTAGAGAAACTAATTAATCAGTCCCTTCTTTTTTTCAAAACTAATCATTTAATCTCTCACATTTTAATTTTGTCAATAATTTAGTCATTTTATCAGTTTTTCAATAGATTGGTGATTTTCACTTTCAAATTGTCTTGTGTTGGGTTTTTTGTTGAGGAGGAGGGAAGAGAGTGAGTGAAAAAGATAAATAAAACATCAAAAGAAGGGGAATTTGGAAGAAAAAAATTCACTAATTTGATAATAAAATTGATAAAAATACTAAGTTATTGTTAGAATTAAAACATAAAAAAACTAAATAATAAATTTTTAAAATTAAAGAGAGTAATTAATTTATTTCTCAAAACATAAACAACTAATTTATGACTTACTAAGCTCCAAAAAGAAAAAAACTACAGTAGAGACTGACAGAGTAAAGCTACCCCAATAAAATGCTGGAAAAAGAACTCTAAATCCGCGCGCAGGAGCCGGAGCAAAATATGGCGAATGCACACTAACCACTAGTGGTGAATAAGCTGAACCATTTCCTTAAAAGGAGGGTCTGTAATCAACGACTCACAGGAACCCTTAATAGCAGTAACCAAGGTTGCCAAATCCACCTCTAACTCTACTTGCCGATAACCCTGTTGCCATGCCACATGTGAACCCAAGCTAGCAGCCCACATCTCTGCCTTAAAAGAAGAACATTGTCCTAAGTTGGCCGTGAACCCATGTAACCACTTACCCTCACCATCAAGAATCAAACCCCAGCACTGGCAAGACCGGAATTGTGTTTACTGGCACCACCAGTGTTCAATCTCACCCAATTCTCCTTACGTTTAACCCAAGAAACAAGCATTCCCCACACGAAACTTCTTGTTATAAAACCCTTATTATTTCTCCATTTTCAAAATTTCCGTATAGCTATTGCCAAACACTAGACTCTAGCAAGATTTATTCTCAACACCACAACTCTTAGTCAAATTATCAATTAATCTCGTGGTAAATAACTCAATTTATAACTATATAATTGATCAAATTTCTAATTTATTCTTATATTTCTAATTATATTTATTATTTTCATATATAAAATCTAAATTTGTAATACGTTCTTTCTATATATCAAAGTTTTTCAATCCAATGACATGATTATATTTTTCATTTTAAAACTGTAATTGAACTATAAAAAATATAATTTTGATTTAAAAAAAAGTTAAAATCTTTATTTTTTAAAAAATTTAATGGTTGAGTAATCTTGAAACTTTTTATTTTTTGAAGCATTTTGACCAATTTTGAAAAAAAAATCTATTTTACCTCGTATAACTTAAGAGTAATTTTGGAATAAAAAAATATAATTTTATTGAGTGAAAAAACTTGATTTAAGGAGATATTTAAAATTAATTAAATACTGTACATAAACATAATTAACATAATTAAAAATATATAAATACATGAAAAATTTGTCTAGTTATATATATATATATATATATATATATAGAATTATTTTCTTTTAATTAAAAATCCAAATACCTGGGATAAAACAATCCTAAATAGACGGTGGACAAGTTTGTGCCAAATAGCCCAAGCACGCCAGCAATCTCGTAAAGCATGAAATAGATTCTCCTTCGTAAAACAGACAAATAGACTAATGTCATATACAATAATTGCTTTAAATACTTATTTTGAAGAGAAAGATAGACACATAAAAAACAAAAAAGAGAAATAAAAGAAAAAAAATTAAAAAAATATATATAAATGTAAAAATCTTTTTATCACTTTTGAGAGGTTCGAATGTGATTGTTTTCTTTTTATGTATTTATCTTACTTCTCAAAATGGATCCATGAAGTTTTCTTTTTTATATGTTTATCTTTTTCCTTAAAGTAAATCTATAAAATAATTAATGTACATATCCCTACTTACTTTTAAAAATTCCTACTCCTTCGTGAAGAAGCTGTCTGCTGTCTGCTGTCTTCTAAGCAAGAAGAATACGAGGATGATAACGCAACCCATTATTGTTCAAGAAAGTACTATGGGCTTCTTTTTATGTATATTCGTCCATTACCCGTTACTATTAGGTATGTTTAACATTATCTATCAGGCCGGATTTAACGAGTATCTGCTTGGTAATCAGTCCATTTCATCCCTGGACATATTTAATGGGTTCCATCTAACACGAGATGCAGTGAAGAGTGGGCTTTCAATCTAGAATCATTCATTGGTAATGCGTGACTGTAGAAACAAAAATGTTTTGTTCTTTTCTCTACGACTTTCAGAGTGGGCTTCTGTTGCAAAGTCCAATAACGAATTTCTTTGTTGCTCCAGGACAAATGATTTTCTTCCTTACAATTCAGTTATTATTTTAAAAACTAATTATTTTAGTCGTTTATGTTTTAATTCTATTAATAACTTAATTTTTTTTTATAATTTTTCATTAGATAATTGATTTTATTTTCAAATTGTCCTTGTTTTGATTTTTTGTTGAAAAGAAGGAATGGAAATAGTTGACAAAGGTAAATAAAAAAATCAAATTATCTTTTTGAATGATTTTCTTTATTGTTCCATAACAAATGATTTTGCTTCATTACAATTATATTTTTTCTAATTTATGATACTATGACCAGGATCAGTTTTAATCCGTATTGAAAATTGAGCGCACAAGCAACATTCCCTTTTATTTTTTAAGTCTCGATTTTCTATGATCAGGATTTGTTATTTATAATTTCATTAGGTTTGAATTAGGGTAATATTAAAAAATAATGCTACTGATATTTTTTTTCAAAAAAATAAAATGAAATGAAAATTTCTGTCGGTAAATCTTTTGGATTTCTTTTTGTTAATTATATTTTTAGACTTGGACAACTCACTGTTATATGAATTAATTATTGATTTGTGAAATTATTACTGCACGAGCTTGATCACTTTAGGAATGTTACTTTGTAAGTGGATTAATTTTTTTTTTCTAATGTCACAACTACCCTAGTTTCATAGGATATATAGGGCATCATTCCTATCTTGTAGCAAATTTATACGGGGTGGATTTGTGAGAAAATTTAATGAATATAATTAGTGACAGCAATTTGAAGAATTACGACGATTTTGCAACAGATTGAAGACCCGAAAGACGACTATTTACTTCAATTGAGCAACAAATAAGCCATCATTTATCAACGATGGATAACTATTTTAGTCGCTAGAAAAATGATAACAATCGTTTTAACTATTAAAAAATTATATAGTAAATCCGTCGTTAAAAATTAATAGAGAGAATTTTCTATCATGATTTTAGTTCTTTTTTTTTTTTGTAATGTAACTGTGCGTGTTAGGTGACTTGATGGTAAAATATGGGATCTCAAGTGAGGAATTGCATGTCCGTTATTTTATTTTATTTCTTATTTACTTGTGTGAGTCAGGTAGATACACATAGAGTGTATAATTAAGAGTCAGCTTCGGGCGTTTTTAAGTAAAAGAAAGAGAGAGAGAAAGAAAGAAAAATGGAAAGTGCTCTCAAGACAGAACCAACCAGGAAGGAATGACTGGAACTTCAAATTGGGCCTTAAATCAATTCTGTCCAAGTCAGTCCTGGACCTTCATTCAAATTAAGAGCCCAAGTCTTCCTAAAGCCTATGTCTGGTTATCTATATTTTACAAACATGCTTATGCCCCTCCAGCACTCAAAATTCCAGTATACTTTTCTAAGATCGCACGGTATCGTATTTAACGAATGAAGCCAGCAGTTGCATCTTGCATAGAAAAAGGTGGTTGTCCAGGCAGCAACCCAGAAGCTGGAAAAAGGAAGAAGAAAAGAGAAAAAGTTAAAACAGATGTAGTAATTCGCTTTTAAAGTTGGAATTTGTACCATGGGGGGTTATGGACATCTTTTATACATACGTTAAGATCGATAGTAAAGCGAGCCAGTTTGTTCACATGACCTAAGATACCCTCTATCTTCTTTAATTTGCTGTTACTTTGTCACAAGCTTTTGAGGAAGTTTCTTTGCAGGCTACTGTTAATATTTTTATATTATTTTTTTTATTTTTTGAACCGATGCTTCATGAGATTTCAAGCTTTGAAATTAGCTACTTTTCTGACCTTCGGTTGTTGATTATGCTTGGTAACTTATACACAGTATCTACACCAAGGAAGGTACGTTTGGAGTACGATTTGTACATTTGAGAAACAGTAGAAAAATATTTATATATGTTCCATCGAATCTTGTTTACTGTGTCCAACTAACCAAGAAGAGTACTTTAGTCTTCTAAATTTCATCATCAATTAATTTGGAAACAGAACCAAGTTGGACCTTTGCATCTAGAAAATATATACGTGTCATCTTGAATTAGCATGTTACTTAAACCGATTGGCAACCATTTGGTGCGGCTGGTCTTTTCATTATTTCACACTGGCTTTCCATTCACAGGCCACTTAATATGTTTTGCAGGAGCATGGAAATCTTTAGAAAATTAAAATGTCTCCCATGAAATATATAATCCAAAGTTTCTTTGCTTAAATTACTTTCTTTTCTTCGTATTCTTTCTTAGAGAACTTGATATAAAACACAAAAATTAAACGGAAGTATGTTTGAAAGTTCAAATGAAATAATTTTTGGTACCCATATATATTTATGCTCAAGACTGATCAGGCATTGCCGCTAATAATTTTATCAATTTCTTTTATATTCATATTGAAGAGAGAAATAAAAGATGCAGTTTATCATCAAAATGGAGAATCCTTAACAGTCCATGAATCTAAAGCAGTGACATTAATTCAGCTAATTTTCTCTACAGAACCCTAGAAATTCTAGCTTTGATTTTAGGCTGCCAGAGGAGAGAACTTGATTACTGTACAACTTGTCCTTTCTGATTAATTAATTGGTATGGAGTGTGTACCACTTCTCATGTGCTATACAAGTATATAAAAAGAAAAGTTTTGCCAAACCAAAATTGCAAGATTTAAGCAATGACCAAACATCGCAAGTTAATGAAATATTTAGCAACAATCAATTTCAGAATATAGTCCTTTCAGTTAATTGCTTGGTCGCGCCTGCCGGCCTGTTGCTGAATTGGATGGAACCCTATCATCCAAGGTGTCCCAACCTTGCGGCCACGAGTCTGATTGGAGCTTACGTAGGAAAGTGGTACAGACTATAGACCCACAGAAGATGTCTATTTGCTTATGCAATTTGTGTGGTCCTAGTCTGACTTTAATTATGTTCTCGATAGGGTGCCCAAAACCCTCTCTTAATTACCTGTCTATGAAGAAAGGCAGCTATTCCCTCCTCCATTCGATTCCTTTTATGCACATGATATATATATATATATATATATATATATATATCTTCTAGGTCTTGCTTCAGGCGGGTTGACAAATACCCATTAGCGTTAAATTGAAGAAATTGCGCGCAATATTGACAAACACCCCTTCGAAAAAGCAATGGCCTGTTAAAGCTATCAGAATCAATATTGAAGAAAATATTTAACAATATAGGACCATATGTGTACACTCGGGTCAACTTTGAAATCCATTGCGACTTTGAATTTCTCCACTCCTTGTTCTAGCATTTCAATTCTCATGGAGATTTCATTACTTTTGTACGCATCAAATATTTATGTGTTGACATATTGTGTGTGTAATTCACATGTTTATTCGTTTATCATATGATTGCTTGTAGCTACTTTGAAATTCCATGATAGCGCTCAGTTTTCTATTGTTCTGGGGTGTGATGAGGACTAGCTCCACTTTAAACATGGCATATGATGCCAAGAGGAAAAGAAGAGAGGGCATGATATAGAAATGATTGGCATAAAGGACTAAAGCACTAGCTATTCCTTCATCACCTCCACATCCATTTTGCTTGTTGC